GGTTCATGACCTCTCCATCGTCAACCTCTCGTTCATGACCTCTCCATTGTCGACCTCCTAGCCTACTCCCCCAGATGAAGCCCGAACCCAACCAACCAGTACCCCTCAGGGTCCTTACCTGATGCAGTGCCCGCCACCATAGCCAAACGTGAGTCTCCTATTTGGTTCTCACCTCCCTCCCCAACCTCTACAGGTAATACCTCACCTCCATAGCCTAGGACTTCTCCTCCCCTACCCGCCTCCTTCACACTCCAGCTCCACCTTCCAAGGAGGCCTCGGATGTTCCGCCATACCCAGTTTGCCAGGCTGAGGTCGAAGAAAGGTGTAGTAGGCTTAATGAGGCCTCAACCTCCAGAAGCCTTTCCCCTTAATGAGGCTTAATGAGGCCTGTTTCCAAGGCTGGCAGTTGAGGCCTCATTAAGGCTGGAAGCAATTGGACATTGATTCTCGCTCAGCCATTCATCCATGAACGTTTTTTGTCTTCACTCTCTTAAAGGGAAATGCGGGGATCTTGCGTGACACTCCCACACGAGACTCCGCTCCCTGTGCCGGTGGGAAAAGCGCAGGGTTGCGGGGCAGGCTCAAGGACATGTGCAAGACCAAATTTTGGGAAAACGATTTGTGAGGCGCAGCTGTCCACACAGCAGCGTATCCAGAGGCCAAGGCGCCTCATTGTACATTACCTCCGTTTTCGTTTCATTTTTTTTATCCTTCTTAGACCTACATTGCTGTACTTTTCGTCTTCTGTGCATGTTGCAAGGGAGGGCAGGGCAGATTTGCTGCTTGCGGCCTCGCCCCACCACTCACCAAATGTGAAAGAAGAGAACGATTCTTGCCCTAGAACATGGACAGATGCACCACCAAAGTTTCCCTCGTTTGTCCATGAGGCGCAGCTGTCTGAAAACAATTACAGGGCAGATCCATGGGCCGGCGCGCTTCACTGTACATTCCCTCCGTTTTTGTTTTCGATGTAGTTTTGGTCCTTAGATCTACACCACTGTACTTCGTCTTTCGTGAACATGGTGAGGGAGGGCAGATTTGGGGATTCCGATCTGAATGTGCCTCGCTCCTCTGCTCTCCACATGCAGGAGGGAAGTATGCAGGTGTACCTTTCCATGTTCTAGCAGAAGATTCATTCTCATTGTGGTATGTTCATTTTGTTTCGTTCTTGGTCCCCGCAGCGTTCCAGGCCGTCATGCGCTTGTTGGTGTTAATAAGATGTGCCAGCTGTCATTGACAGGAAAGGAGACGGAGGGTGATAACATCATCCCAGCTTTTGTTTTCTTTTTTTTCTTCTTCTTCTTCTTCCTCCCTGCATTCTTCTCATTCCTTCTTCTTCTTCTCTTCTTATCGCATTGACAGGAAAGGAGACGGAGGGTGATAACATT